AAAAAAAAAAAAAAAAAAAAAAAGAAAGTCAAACAAGCAAGAACTTAAAGGAAAACGATTAAGACAAAAACTACCCTATGGAATGGACAGTCAGAACTACTCATGTTCTCAGCGCTAATTAACAGTGTTCTGTTCAAGTCTGAATTTTTTCTGGCTTTAATTTTACAACTTATGACTGCAATGATCAATCATGTTTTCATATCTTTTTCTGCAGTTCAAATATATGACATTTCACATATTCACTTGTAGCTCACAGAGTCACTGTTAGTCAAACCTTTTTGATCAAAGTTATATTATCAAACTTTATACATATATACCGGTATTTTTTTAATGTACTCAAATGAAAGAGTTTGATCACAGTTAACAAGAAACTGGACATTGCTGCACTTACATTTGTTATTTCTGTCCCACTGTCCCTATTCTTTCTCTTTTGTACAACAGAGTCCTTCTGTACAGGTGTTTGACTAGGTAACATTTCAGATGAATCACTATGACTTATGACCTTGCTCTTTTTATTGAAGTTCTCATCTGTTGTCTTGGTACTTTCTAGGATGGCTACTCTTTTACGGCTTGCAAACAAGGGACTGCCAAATAGGTGAGAGTCAACTGGTTTGGTATCTCTCCTGAAAAACAAAAAAAAAAATAACAGCAACTTAGCCAAAATCAGGCTTATCACCAGATTTTGAAACATTAACAGACTCTCCTTAGAAAATGTTTAACATGTTGCTTTATTTCTATGGCTTCCTTTTTAAATGTAAGTCCCAATACCACACTGACACAAATCTTGTTTACATGTCAACCCTGTCCTCCTCCTAAAATTTAAAAAAAAAACCCTCTCCTAGTGATACATGTAACATCCCCCTTTGAATAGAAATCCATATGGGAGTTACATATACATTTCTGGGCTAGTAGCACTCTACTATTAAAAAAATAATAGCTTTGATTTGCATTTTACAACTGTATATTGTTGTACAGCTACAGCTGTACCCTGTGAGCAGTTGGTTTCTAATTCGTGTAGGAGAAACCAACTGCTTGCAGGGTAGCTGTACAGCATGCAAGCTCCAAGACATCTGATGACGATCCGATGTTGGGACTGTGGCTTAAGTCTGATTGTAACAATGTCTGCTTACAGTGTAGATGAACTGTAAGATTTTCAAACATTTCATATTTCACTTTGACAAAAACACAGTCTGAATGTTTAGAAGCTGGTAAAAATGTAAGCACCTCTTTGTTGGCCTCATCAACTCGTCCTCCTCATCCTCAACAACTAAACTCCTCTTTCTGCTTTCTTTGAGTGCAGAGAGGACTGTGACTCGACTGCATGGGTTCCAATCATCTGTTGCTTTCTTCAAAGGACTATTAGATCTTAATATGAGAACACACATCAGTCTGATTGTCAGCTTTAAAGTAGAAAACTTTGATCTCACATCTACTCATGCCTAATTAGACTAATTACTCAGGCCTTTGGTAGCTGAAACATTTGAGCTGTTACAGCCTTAACTGACACAGTTTCCACAGATATGTAAACTCGAAACAGTGGAAGAAAAGAAAACATCATGTAAACAATGGTACATTGTACTCTTCCCCCAAATTCTCCAATTTTTGAATGAAAACTCCTGGTAATGTGTGATGTTTTTCTGTGAAGGTCTTGAAGTATGTTTGGTTCTTCTTTCACAAATCTTGGCAATTACAAGATGGCAATTTCACACCTGTGATCTTATGAACGTTGTACATTGCAACAGGAGTCGAAATAAATTGTTTTCTCATTGAATCACTATAAGTAAGAAGAATCAACACTTACAGTGTAAACGTTCTATTAACCGTGACATCAGGTGATGCAATCTTAACAGTAGAGGGTCTCTGGAGTGCAGGGTTCAACAGGCTGAAGTGTTTTGGTTTACGGCGATAAGTGAAGGCATTCCCTCTGGATGGATAAGGAGTTGGTACAAGCTCTCTGTTGTGCCAAGAGTTTCTTCCTTGAAAAGGTGTGGTAGTGCTGAAAAATAAGTATTGCTTAATGAGCTACATGTATTGTTACTGTGAGTGATTTGTCATAAATCAATACAAAATCGTTAGCTGATGCACTTGCAACAGTGGTTGCAACTAACATTCTGGCAACACTAACAGTGCATATGCAGAAGTATCATTTGGCAGCATTTAGGCGTAAAAAAAATTCAAGCCACGAGAAGTATTTTATTTGTATTTAAAAATTACTTTACAAGATGCATCAATGATTTTGTACATGTAAATGTAAAAGTTGAGTATAGTTATTTTAGCTGAAGCATTTACTTACCCCAGTATATTGTTACAGCCCATATCTCAACATTAAACCATTTTAGTTTATAGCAAAGCACATTTCACGTTCTTAGATGTCGTGATTTTTAAATGAAGCTTATTTTCCCATAATTGAGCTTAATCCTTACCTCGTGTTAAAACTTAGCCTCTTTGTAACTTCGGACAGCAATGGCATGGGTGACCTAAGGGAAATCTTTTCCCTCGGCAAGCCGGTGAACGGCAAATCTGGAGGTTCCTGGTAAGTACTGTGCAACTTCTCCTGGTAACTCAAATCATGTTCGGAGTCTCTCTCTTCGGGTTCACGTCGAGTATTTCCCGCTCGATGTCTTCCGAAGTTGTACGCGTAGATCAGAAACGTGAAAACAAGAAGAAGGCTCCAAAATAAACCGAACAATGACCAAAGTGTTAAAATAACCAGGCCAAGTATGGCTAGAACGCGGAGTTCGCTTTCCTTCAAACCCATTTCTTCGCAGAACTAAACATCCTCCTCTGGAACAAAATGTCGGCTACGAAATGTTCACTGCGCATGGCATTAGAGGGCGCCATTTTTTGAACCATACCTCGGTTTCATGATAACAAAATATATTTTTGTCGGGGGAGGCGCTGGTGAATCAGCTTGGGACTAAGTTACCCGAATTCGACTAATTCCTTTCACGGTTGCCCCACCAAGGATGCCTATCCTCTACTGAATCAATTTATAATAAAATGCGGCTCAAAAGCAACCTGAAACAAAAATATCAAACAAAAGAGTTTGATCTATCGTCCCTTGTATCAAACTATTTCTTTACTTCATTTAGAATTCACCTAGTCTGGTGTTACTCTTTGCTGTGATTTTCAAGAATATCAAGAAGAGGACCCGTGTATCTTGTATTATCGCAAGCATTCCTTATTTGAAGGTCAACAAAATAATGTTGGTTCACACATTTGATTCAACTAACTAGTTCTAGGCACCACAGTCACTGATGAAGTTAATACCAGCTCTGAATCTTCAGATTCTATTACAGCTCGCTGTAAGACATACAGAGGATATAACAAGGCGGCACAAGGATATGAATTTTATTTTCGAGTGGAATGGATGGCTTTGTGTTCGTGGTCCCAAATTCAACTCCTCCACGTCTTGTGAATGGCCAACTGGTCAGCTTCCAACCAGTTGGGATTTTAACAAGTTTTCAGTTATATTTACAATGATTGTTTCTATACTTACAGTATCTTCAATTAGCACAGGAGTGCTAAATAACATAACACTTACGTTAAGTGATTTATTGTCTTTTTTTGTTATTTGTTGAAATGGACTACGCAATGAAATAACGCTAAAAGCCTTCCATTTACAAATGTGCTGTCAAAGAACACATTGTAAACAAAAACTGGTAATTGTTTTGCACTCTTAATTTCGAGATGGCTTTAGTGTTTAACTAAACAATCTTAAATCAATTACATTACCCCATACTTTAAATTCAAACAATTGCGCGTCCTACTGCAATAAGTAAATGACAAAAAAAATGATACCTCTTTTTTACATCAATGTAGTCACTCAAAGTAAACAACCACTAAAACTGTCAAAGTCTATTACAGTCGACATAAAACAAGTCAATCATTTACTCAACAATGAATTGAAGTGCTCAAGTCTATAATACGATTTAACACTAGGCAACTATATAAAGTTCTAAAATGAGTTTCTTTCAGAGGAGAAGCAGTAGACCAATTTCGATATATTAAAATTCAGCCTAAAACAATAGCCCCCAGTACGAGGCTCTGGGGAATAACTACAGAGTTTGTGGGGTTTATTCCCCAGAGTCTCGTGCTGAGGTCCATTGTGTTAGGCTGAATTTTAACATATCGAAATTGGTCTACTGCTTCTCCTCTGAAAGAAACTCATTTTAGAGCTTTATATAGTTGCCTAGTGTTAAATCGTATTATAGACGTGAGCACTTCAATTCATTGTTGAGTAAATGATTGACTTGTTTTATGTCGACTGTAATAGACTTTGACAGTTTTAGTGGTTGTTTACTTTGAGTGACTACATTGATGTAAAAAAGAGGTATCATTTTTTTTGTCATTTACTTATTGCAGTAGGACGCGCAATTGTTTGAATTTAAAGTATGGGGTAATGTAATTGATTTAAGATTGTTTAGTTAAACACTAAAGCCATCTCGAAATTAAGAGTGCAAAACAATTACCAGTTTTTGTTTACAATGTGTTCTTTGACAGCACATTTGTAAATGGAAGGCTTTTAGCGTTATTTCATTGCGTAGTCCATTTCATCAAATAACAAAAAAAGACAATAAATCACTTAACGTAAGTGTTATGTTATTTAGCACTCCTGTGCTAATTGAAGATACTGTACGTATAGAAACAATTATTGTAAATATAACTGAAAACTTGTTAAAATCCCAACTGGTTGGAAGCTGACCAGTTGGCCATTCACAAGACGTGGAGGAGTTGAATTTGGGACCACGAACACAAAGCCATCCATTCCACTCGAAAATAAAATTCATATCCTTGTGCCGCCTTGTTATATCCTCTGTATGTCTTACAGCGAGCTGTAATAGAATCTGAAGATTCAGAGCTGGTATTAACTTCATCAGTGACTGTGGTGCCTAGAACTAGTTAGTTGAATCAAATGTGTGAACCAACATTATTTTGTTGACCTTCAAATAAGGAATGCTTGCGATAATACAAGATACACGGGTCCTCTTCTTGATATTCTTGAAAATCACAGCAAAGAGTAACACCAGACTAGGTGAATTCTAAATGAAGTAAAGAAATAGTTTGATACAAGGGACGATAGATCAAACTCTTTTGTTTGATATTTTTGTTTCAGGTTGCTTTTGAGCCGCATTTTATTATAAATTGATTCAGTAGAGGATAGGCATCCTTGGTGGGGCAACCGTGAAAGGAATTAGTCGAATTCGGGTAACTTAGTCCCAAGCTGATTCACCAGCGCCTCCCCCGACAAAAATATATTTTGTTATCATGAAACCGAGGTATGGTTCAAAAAATGGCGCCCTCTAATGCCATGCGCAGTGAACATTTCGTAGCCGACATTTTGTTCCAGAGGAGGATGTTTAGTTCTGCGAAGAAATGGGTTTGAAGGAAAGCGAACTCCGCGTTCTAGCCATACTTGGCCTGGTTATTTTAACACTTTGGTCATTGTTCGGTTTATTTTGGAGCCTTCTTCTTGTTTTCACGTTTCTGATCTACGCGTACAACTTCGGAAGACATCGAGCGGGAAATACTCGACGTGAACCCGAAGAGAGAGACTCCGAACATGATTTGAGTTACCAGGAGAAGTTGCACAGTACTTACCAGGAACCTCCAGATTTGCCGTTCACCGGCTTGCCGAGGGAAAAGATTTCCCTTAGGTCACCCATGCCATTGCTGTCCGAAGTTACAAAGAGGCTAAGTTTTAACACGAGGTAAGGATTAAGCTCAATTATGGGAAAATAAGCTTCATTTAAAAATCACGACATCTAAGAACGTGAAATGTGCTTTGCTATAAACTAAAATGGTTTAATGTTGAGATATGGGCTGTAACAATATACTGGGGTAAGTAAATGCTTCAGCTAAAATAACTATACTCAACTTTTACATTTACATGTACAAAATCATTGATGCATCTTGTAAAGTAATTTTTAAATACAAATAAAATACTTCTCGTGGCTTGAATTTTTTTTACGCCTAAATGCTGCCAAATGATACTTCTGCATATGCACTGTTAGTGTTGCCAGAATGTTAGTTGCAACCACTGTTGCAAGTGCATCAGCTAACGATTTTGTATTGATTTATGACAAATCACTCACAGTAACAATACATGTAGCTCATTAAGCAATACTTATTTTTCAGCACTACCACACCTTTTCAAGGAAGAAACTCTTGGCACAACAGAGAGCTTGTACCAACTCCTTATCCATCCAGAGGGAATGCCTTCACTTATCGCCGTAAACCAAAACACTTCAGCCTGTTGAACCCTGCACTCCAGAGACCCTCTACTGTTAAGATTGCATCACCTGATGTCACGGTTAATAGAACGTTTACACTGTAAGTGTTGATTCTTCTTACTTATAGTGATTCAATGAGAAAACAATTTATTTCGACTCCTGTTGCAATGTACAACGTTCATAAGATCACAGGTGTGAAATTGCCATCTTGTAATTGCCAAGATTTGTGAAAGAAGAACCAAACATACTTCAAGACCTTCACAGAAAAACATCACACATTACCAGGAGTTTTCATTCAAAAATTGGAGAATTTGGGGGAAGAGTACAATGTACCATTGTTTACATGATGTTTTCTTTTCTTCCACTGTTTCGAGTTTACATATCTGTGGAAACTGTGTCAGTTAAGGCTGTAACAGCTCAAATGTTTCAGCTACCAAAGGCCTGAGTAATTAGTCTAATTAGGCATGAGTAGATGTGAGATCAAAGTTTTCTACTTTAAAGCTGACAATCAGACTGATGTGTGTTCTCATATTAAGATCTAATAGTCCTTTGAAGAAAGCAACAGATGATTGGAACCCATGCAGTCGAGTCACAGTCCTCTCTGCACTCAAAGAAAGCAGAAAGAGGAGTTTAGTTGTTGAGGATGAGGAGGACGAGTTGATGAGGCCAACAAAGAGGTGCTTACATTTTTACCAGCTTCTAAACATTCAGACTGTGTTTTTGTCAAAGTGAAATATGAAATGTTTGAAAATCTTACAGTTCATCTACACTGTAAGCAGACATTGTTACAATCAGACTTAAGCCACAGTCCCAACATCGGATCGTCATCAGATGTCTTGGAGCTTGCATGCTGTACAGCTACCCTGCAAGCAGTTGGTTTCTCCTACACGAATTAGAAACCAACTGCTCACAGGGTACAGCTGTAGCTGTACAACAATATACAGTTGTAAAATGCAAATCAAAGCTATTATTTTTTTAATAGTAGAGTGCTACTAGCCCAGAAATGTATATGTAACTCCCATATGGATTTCTATTCAAAGGGGGATGTTACATGTATCACTAGGAGAGGGTTTTTTTTTTAAATTTTAGGAGGAGGACAGGGTTGACATGTAAACAAGATTTGTGTCAGTGTGGTATTGGGACTTACATTTAAAAAGGAAGCCATAGAAATAAAGCAACATGTTAAACATTTTCTAAGGAGAGTCTGTTAATGTTTCAAAATCTGGTGATAAGCCTGATTTTGGCTAAGTTGCTGTTATTTTTTTTTTTGTTTTTCAGGAGAGATACCAAACCAGTTGACTCTCACCTATTTGGCAGTCCCTTGTTTGCAAGCCGTAAAAGAGTAGCCATCCTAGAAAGTACCAAGACAACAGATGAGAACTTCAATAAAAAGAGCAAGGTCATAAGTCATAGTGATTCATCTGAAATGTTACCTAGTCAAACACCTGTACAGAAGGACTCTGTTGTACAAAAGAGAAAGAATAGGGACAGTGGGACAGAAATAACAAATGTAAGTGCAGCAATGTCCAGTTTCTTGTTAACTGTGATCAAACTCTTTCATTTGAGTACATTAAAAAAATACCGGTATATATGTATAAAGTTTGATAATATAACTTTGATCAAAAAGGTTTGACTAACAGTGACTCTGTGAGCTACAAGTGAATATGTGAAATGTCATATATTTGAACTGCAGAAAAAGATATGAAAACATGATTGATCATTGCAGTCATAAGTTGTAAAATTAAAGCCAGAAAAAATTCAGACTTGAACAGAACACTGTTAATTAGCGCTGAGAACATGAGTAGTTCTGACTGTCCATTCCATAGGGTAGTTTTTGTCTTAATCGTTTTCCTTTAAGTTCTTGCTTGTTTGACTTTCTTTTTTTTTTTTTTTTTTTATTTTGAAAACATTATTAACTTCTGACTAACATTTCTCTTAGCTTACGGTTGTGAAGAACAAACTGCATCGTAAGAATATATGAGCTCATTATTTGAGCGCATNTTTTTTTTTTTTCTTTTTTTTTTTTTTGTTTTATCTAGAGAGTAGCCAACTTGGAGAGTACAGAAATGGGAGAAGATGAGAGCTCCAACAAAAAGACCAAGGTCATAGATCACAGCAATTCTTCTGAACCTGTGCACAGTCAAAGACAAACAGATTCTGTTGTACAGAAAAGGAAGGACAGAGCCACAGAGACAGAAAAATCGAACGTGAGTGCGATAATTTGGCTTGGATTAGTGTATGCTAGCGCTTTATCACACTTCAAATATCAAAGTGAATTCAAGTAAAAAGCAATTCTTAGTCATTACATGTATCAGCAGACAGTATATATATGGCTAGCGTTGTCTGCTCAAAGTTACCAGTGATCTGCAATTCTCGTCTTGCACTAAAGTTTATCAGAGTATTTACTCTGATATGTGCATAAAAATCAGGACTCAAAATGGCATCCCCTGCTAGTTGGTTGTGCATGTATTACTGCTGTTACTGTTTACTGTACATACACTGCAGTGTGGAAAGAGCCAATACAGTCTTTTTTATTGGATCATTGTGCCACGGATGCTTAACGTCCTACAATAATTTCAAATTGCTATGTGTATTCTAACTTCACTTCACTTTTATTCGTACGTTATTATTAATGATACTTTTACTTGGTGCAGATATCACAACAAGCTGATGCAAAGGAAGAAAGCGAGAGAAATCAGTCGAAAAAGGCTAAGAGTTTGGTGCAGGAAACCAAAGACGATGACGGCCAGAGGTGAGAAAATTTACAAATAGTTGTGTATTCACACAGATAACTATTTGTCAACATGTACATTTAGTATTGAAGATGTCACCGAAATACTGTATGGTGATCAAAATTACTCACTGGATGAACTATTTCTTGTTATGATCAGAGATACAAACTTGTATATTAACTGTTTCATAAGTTGGTAACTGTTTAATAAATGTGTGATTACATAAAAGAAAACTAAACTTATGAGGACAAGCAATTACATTCAGAAGATGAACAGCAATTTGAGGTCTAAAAATGACAAAAGTCTGATTTAGAAAAATAACCAGGTTGGCTTCTCTGTAGATGAAACAAAGTCAAACAAGCAAGAACTTAAAGGAAAAAGATGACTACAAAAAATCAGAAAAAAAAATAATCAGGAGAGGCTTGGCAGCCTTGGCTCTACAGCATGTATATCATATGCAGTAGTTGATACAGCAGATTATCATCTTGTGAAAAGGAAGATTACACGCCTCTGAAGTCGCCACTTTGAAATACATTAATTCTAGATATTTTACTTCACAGGGGAAGAAGCGAGCAGGAAAAAAGAGATAACAGCAGCTCACCCAAGCAAATGGTTAGTCATGAGGGGATATATATTGATAACTGATAATATTGTAGAAGTATCTCATGAATTTGTATGGTTGAACTAACTCTACTGAAGTAGCTGTAAATGTGTTTTTCTGGATCATACAAAGAAAACAGAAACAAAAAATAACCCATGTAGAGTGCACATGTGCTTTTTTGTATGTTTTATTGTCATTTGATATTACAATTTTTTTTTTTTTTTTACAGAAACGATTCACAGTTCCAAGGTTTGCTTCTAAAGAAGATTCAAGGCGGAGAGCTGTACCAGTGTACTGTGCTTCTAATGAGGAATCTGAGATGGTGAGATCTCTTTAGAGTCTTGTATGAATCTGAAGATTTCTACTGCTACTCAAAATAATTTGAGTATTACTCCCTTTCAATGACAATGGACTAGACAATGTATGAATAAATGTGAAGACTTGTATCTCTCAATTACATCTGTACAATGGGCTGGGTAAAATATTAGACTCTTGCAGGCATTCAGTGAGTTGGGGTGAAGGGTGAAAAATGGCGCACAAAAAAATAGGGGAGAAGCACAGGGCAGGAAGGCAAGAGAACTCCATCATCGCAGCAAGCCTTTGTCTTCTTTATTTCACTGTATTTCACATGAGGCACTCCAACTAACTGAATGCCTGGAAGAGTCTGCAGCAATACCGGTATTTAGGCCGTTCTATTCAGATGAATTGGGTTTTGCATTCTTATTGTATGGATTGCCTTTTCACTCAGATACCATTCACAAACCTTGGGAATTACCTCTAGGCTTGGAATGTAAGATTCACACCTTGTTTCTTGTTATTAGCCTCAAAGAAGAACTGTGTCCAGAAAAATTAACCAGGAGCAGATCAAGATTGATCGCAGACTTGCTTGGGAGCGTGTGAAGGAGCTGCTTGGTGGTGATGAAGATGAGGAGGAGGAGGAAGAGGCTACCAGAGCTTCCAAATCAGGTATATACAGATAGGTACATGTACTTGTACCCCGCAAGGTGGATTTTCCCCTCACTTTCTGCTCTGATCAGATAAGAAAGGGAATCACTGTCTCACAGGGTAGGTACTCATGGGCTTCCACAGGGGCAAAGCACCTACCAAACTGACCGGATGTGAGAAGTATTTTGCGTACCTGGTTTGACCATCCAGGGGAAAGTTTTTCTTATAAAGAAGTTCTTACAAAGAAGTTCAGTTCAAAAAGGTTTGTGAAAACCTGTTGCATGTGAAACACCAGTTGCTCTCCCGCTGAAAACGCGAATGAAACCCCTGGGTACTCAAGCAAACTAGGAAAACCTAGCAGAGTGCTGGGATAACCAGTGAATGACAAGCATCCCGTCGAAGGGGAGTAACAGTGCTTATTGTTGCTTAAATATAATATTGCACTATCCGGACATCTCAGTGAACCAATCAAAATGCTCTTTTTCATGAGGCCCAGTTTGGGAATTACTAATGAATACATTAAGTGACATGTCCAAATGGTTTCTTACATTAATAACAATAATGATCATTGTGGTGCTTTTCTAACAGGTGATGTTCCTTTGAATCCCTCTTCAGGTACAACAGCAGCTTCATCAACAGCTGCTGGTACTTCCACCTCTTCATCGTTATTGAAGATCACTACTGCCGGGGCTGTGACCAGTGCCGGGACAATAACCACCACCACCACTCAGAGTCTCATCACCCCAGCGCCTTCTTCTGGCGTCCCACAGAGGACCACAGGGGTTCAGGGAGTCCCTGTGACAAATGCCCCATTTTTGCAATCCCAAGGTACAGCGGTGCCCTCATTACAGTCCCAGCAAGCGTCAGGGCCCGGGCTATTGGCTAATTTGTTAAGTAATCCAGGATCATCAAAGAATACCTCATCGGCAGCAGGATCACAAACAGCCACTCCAGAACAAGCGCAGTCAGCTGTTACTGCCCAGACATCTGGAGTAGTAAATTTATTAAAAGCTCCCACAATAGGATTACAAGCAAACGTGTCACTAACATCAACTGCAACTGCAACCCAAGGTCCTGCAGGTTTCCAGCTGTCATCTTCTTCGTCTTCGTTTGGAAATTCGCCCTTTGTAAAGCCAGCAATATCAAACCAATTAACTTCATCCTCAGTTTCTTCTCACAAAAATACGTCTGACACCAACACCAGCTCAGCCCAACAACCAGGCTTTAGTTTTCCTGCAATTTCTTCTTCGGGGCCTGGCCAGGCAGGGTTTACATTTGCAGCTGCTAGTGGCGCCCCAAATGCTGTTAGTTTAGGTCAAAATTCAACACAAAACACTCCTGGAACAAGCTTGTTTAATTCTCCAAGTACTTCCGCTTTGGGAGCAGCTAGTTCTCAAAAACCTGTTACGTTGGCAGGTAACAGTTCAATTGCACCATCTCAGAATCCATTCGCATCTATTGCCAAGCCTACACAAAATAGTTCTGTGTCCAGTGCGTTGCCAGCACCGAGCGGTTTTGCCGGGCAAAGTTCAAACGCAGCTCAGAGTTCTTTTGGTTCAGTAGGCCAGAACAAGTTGGCATTTGGTGCCACAAACATGCAATCTGTACAAGGACAACAGAGTCAAAGCCCATTTGGTGGTACCCCCAGCATTATGTCGGGTTTCGGGGCAACGTCTGCGCAAAACACTTTTGGAGCTGCAGTTAGTAAAAGTTCTACGCAAAGTCCATTTTCCCAGGGTACGTTGGGAGCGCAGGCCAACCAAAACACTTCCCAGGGACCTGCCCAAAAAGCCTTCGGAGCACAACAGCAAAACCAGCAAGCTACTGCAAGTACTTTTGGAAAACCGTCCGGCAAAAGTACATTTGCGAACCTAACTAATACTCCAGGCAACTTTACGTTTGGTTCACAAGTCCAACAAAGTGCCACGCAGAATGTATTCGGAAGCCAGACAACTCAAAATGCGTTTGGACCTCAAGCAAATCAAAATACTAGCCAAAGTGCCTTTGGAAACCAACTTACCCAGAATGCCTTTGGAGCCCAAGCTACCCAAAGTGCTTTTGGAGCATCTTCAACCCAAAAGACAACTCCGTTCACTTTTGCCGCTCAGAACACTGTCCAGAACCCTTCCAACACACCTTTCGGTGGGTTTGGTAAAACTGGTACCCAGAGTACTTTTGGGGCAGCGCCTTCCCAGAATACTGCAGCTCCCTCAGGTGGATTCAATTTCAGTGCTACCGGAAGTAACCCTGCACCTGGTGGTTTTAATTTCAGTGCAACTGGCAATAAACCCAATGGTTTTCAGTTTGGTAAGAGTGACATGTAGTTATTCAGTGTTTCCTTGGGATTAACTTCTCGGGTCATTGAAGCGCTTGATACAACAAGTGTGTTTTCCAATCGTTTTGCTAAAGTGCGTATTTTTGAACTACAATTACTTCTCGGGTAGGTTTTTTTATTATTCTTAATTGCCTTCACATATTTGACATTTGACCAAAACTACCGAATGGCTATGGACGGATCTGATTTGCAAGGTCTTAAAAAATCTTCGGATTATTCAAGGTCCTTGAAAGTCACAAATAAAAAACGCTACTCGTGGGGATAGTGGGAGCCGCGGTAGCCTCATGGTTAGTGCGCTCGTCTCCGGATCGAGGGGTCCGGGTTCGAGCCCTGGCCAGGGACATTGTGTTGTGTTCTNGGGGGAGTAGAAATACTCCTAGTCGCTTCATGCTACGGAAACCGGGATAAGCTCCGGCCTGATGGGCCACTTGGCTCGCATGCAGACTTTACCTTACTCGTGGGGATAAGTGGGGTTTCGTCAGGGAAATCTCTTGAGAAAATGCCAGAGGCCTTCCCAAAAACTAATCTGGCCTGAGAAGCATATTTTTATCCCGCAAGTTACACGCAGAGCTGAGAGCTGGACGGAAAAATGTGTCAATCCTATTGTCGTATCCTCAACTGCCTCTTTTCGTGAAGTTCATTTGAGTGTGTTGTTTCTGTAGGTGCAGCGGGAAGCAGCGGTAATTTTGGTCAATTTGGCCAAACAACAGCTCAGCCTGGAGGTAAGAATATTCTTATAAGATTGTAACAAATTGTAAAAACTCCTATCCTAAGCACATTCTTAACTATGATTCCACTCCCCTGATTGTGGAAATCTTCCACGTTAGGTGTGGTTCGCGTATGTTGAATCCCCTCTCAAAATGGCCTGCTTCTTTTCCCGCATGCTTCTCTCGAACGTCTTACGTGCAAGAATGTTGTTGTCTAGGTGTTGAAGGTCTGACCGAAGCCGAAGTTTTACCTCTTATTACTTCAGATCCATGATCGTTGTAAATCTTGCCCAATACTTTCGTCTCTTTCATCTCTCACAGCTGCGCCCGCAACACCTACACCCAGTGGTGGTTTCAACTTTGCTCCAGGGTCTGGTGGCATGCCGGGAAGTCCGTTTGCATCACCTGCGGCTGCGCCAACGTTTGGCATACCAAGCACTCCACAAGGGGCGGGCAGCACGCTGACGACAAGATCGCGGGCTCGCTTAACGGCCCGACGGAGAGGCAAGAAATGAGAGAGGGCAAAAGAACTGTAGCTGCCAAGAACATTGGACTGTATGTAGGGGAATAAGACTTTAACAATGATGCAATTTTGTATTTGTATATAAATTTACAAAGGATATCGTTCGGTTTTATTCCATACTCGATTTATTGCGGATTTCAGATTATGTAGTTTTTCAATTTTATATATTTGATTAATAAATGAACTTTGTACATAGTGTTCATTTTGTTATCGTTGTCTTTTCAAATAACACCTCCCTTAATTAATCTGCTTTAGCGAACCCGTGAAATTGACTCTAATTTCTGCAACTTTAATTATATTATTTTCGACTAAGAGTATGAATCTAGCTTTTCCCAACGTATAGCTATGCAGTCAAGAACCTTAACAGCTTATCTACTTGCTTCATTTTAATCTTAAGTCAACGTTTCTTAAGAATTCAGGTAGCTCCTCAGTTTTATAGGAATCTTTTCATCGGAATATATTGTCCTTATTGTGCTCTGGCCATTACTGTAGGTGTCTTGTTTGTGCTATTTCGTTAATTTCTAGTATGAAAAAAAAAAATTGCTTGTCGTTCGCGTTAGTTCATAATTTTGCGCAATTCCGTCCTTCCTTTTCACATTTAATTAAGTAGAATTACTTTAAAACATTTCTAGTTAAAGCCTAGCTTTGTCGAAAGTCTTAACTACGAATATAGTCATTTAGAAAATGAATTTGTATTTTACATACGAATCTCGCGGTGCTCGAAAGTCATTTACTTTGTTTATAACAGTCAAAACTATCTCGAAACTAAATCTGGAACACAGTGATAAATTTGATATAGAAATTTAACAAATTATCCGTCGTGGTTCACGTTCTACGGACAACGCAGAATTTGGTCATTTCACGTTGTTGTTTTGCAAAGGACGGGAAAGAAATGTACCAAGAATTATAACGCACGTGCACAGCCACTGTACTGCTCATTAAACCTTTTGTTTAACGACGTTGCCGTTGCCTTTCTAAGGCTCCGTCCCCACGTATCCGGATATTCTTTAAATCCGCAACTTTTTCTCTCCGGATTCAAAAATTTCCCCGTCCACACGTAGCGCATTCAAATCGAATCCGCCTGTCCACACGTATTCGATGGTATCCGGATTCACTCTAGAGAAACCAGGCCTACACGTTGTGCCGCCATATTGGTTTATTGTTCGGTAAGAGACTGGCCACGATTTTGCTACGTCATTGTATTGGAAAATATCCGGATTTACTGTCCACACGTTATCGGATTTATTTTTTTTCCGCTCGGGAGAGCAGATTCAAAAACATCCGGATTCGCTGCCGAATTCGCCGGGTAGGTCTGGACGGAAGCCGGGTCCGGAAAGAAAAAGTTGCGCATTCAAAAATATCCGGCCGGATACGTGTGCACGGGGCCTTAAACTCCCTATTGATCTACTCAAGCTCAGTTGTTCCCAGCTTGTTTTTGTTTCTCTTCGCTCTTTTCTGAGTCCGTTGCCTCTGTTTCCATGTGTTCTTGTTTGGGCGGTGCATCTACGTCATCAATTAGTTCGTAAAATTCTTCTTTGAAGGCAACTATATCTGAGAAAAACAATAAAGAGCGTTGATTATCGCGGCGATGGTCGGCGGTGGTTAGTGTGCTCGTCTGCGCATAGAGCGGTCCGGGTTCAAGCCCTGGTCGGGGACATTGTGTTGTGTTCTTGGGCAAGACACTTTACTCTCACAGTGCCTCTCTGCACCCAGATGCATAAATGAGTAGCGCGAAATTAATGCTGGGGGTAACCCTGTGATGGGCTAGCATTCCATCCTGGGGGAGTAGAAATACTCCTAGTCGCTTCATGCTACTGAAACCGGAGATAAGCACGTACCGGCCTTATAGGCCACTTGGCTCGTATGCAGACTTTACCTTTACCCGTTAGCGCTAGTCTGGTGTTGAACACGGCCGACAGACTTTTCAATGAACCTTATTTACGTGTAAAGGCCGTTGAACATAATTCTCTAGAATAACAAGATTAACTTAGCTGAAAAAAGAAAAAGAATACTTACTAATGACAACTCTAAAAATTCTCCACAGTCGAAGAACGATAATAAAAGCCAAGCCATTCCATGCCTTCTTAGCGCGGATTACACTGAAAGGTAAATCACGTAACATGAGTAATACTTCGTGCAAAGGCCCCTTTCCGATGTTTCTTCGTCCATACTGGTCTAAGTAGACTATGCGAAATTGATTGTTGCACGATTTGTGTCTAGTTTTATGGACATATAATTCTCTCGAACCGATAAATGTTTCTCTCGAGGATTTCATCTGGTGCTCTTCGTGTTTTTTCCCACTCCCTGCTCTCCTATATTTTACCTCTTCCAGACAACCACTCACTCACGCGTTCCTATTGACCAGCGGTCCACAAAAGGGAGAAAAATTCGTTCCTCGTTTAGTAACCGCTGGCCAGAGTAAAGCGTGGGAGCTTACCATACAGACAGTACTTGGTTGACACTATCGGCATGATGTTGTGTTGGGTTTGGTTGCAGAACTGACTCACCTTAGCACTACCTCAATTACGAAGGCTGATACGACCACAAAGCCATCAAATATCTGAAGAGTGGAATAGATCATCGGTTATGTATAAGGACTGTGTGTGTTACTGTTGGAAAGAGATATTGACGCAAGAGCTGCACAGTTGAGGCCTTACCTCCATTTTCTCCTCTAAGTAATACTCGCATCCCATTGCATAGAATTTGAGAAAAACCTGTGAAAAAGAATGTTCGGTGAATCAGTCGATGAGGCGCATTAGAAACCAGCACCTTTACATTAAGAAAAGGTTAAAAGTTTGAATTTAAAAACTCCGCAAAGACTGACCTCTAAGACGAAGACACCAAGGATAGACAGACCAACAAAATGAAGAAGGTGCCTTGATAGGTGACTCTCATCTGAAAAAAGGAAAGTTAGTCCTAAACGTGACACAGAAATACACAAAGACATAGCAATTTTTCTTAGACAGTTCTGTCCAAGGGAGAAAGGCGCAATGAGGTTAACTTTATGTGAAGCACCAACCCGTTAAACAAGGTTAGACCACAACACCGGGAACTCCGTACTCTTTGCAAGAAGTGTGTGGGTTCTTTAACGTCCCCTGCTAACCATTTAACACTGAAGATGCAGGAGACGGGGCCTACGGGTTATAGTCCTTATCCGAGAAGACTTGAGCGTCTAACCGTTTGCATATGTAATTACAAAGTCTACAAAGGCAGCACATTCTCCCCAGTTATTTTAAGACCCTGAGTGTTGGTTCGGTGTGGGGCTCGAACCCTCGACCTCCCGCACAGTCTGGCGCTCTATCAACAGAGCTAATCAGGCGCGTGTGATCTCATGTCCATATTTTTGCCAACTGACCTCAAGTTAAATTCAGTCCCGTCTTTGATCAAGAGTGAAATCCTTAGAGAACTCTGTGGGATTCGTTATAGAGAATCTCATACATTAGAATCCCATCGAAACCTTGAAACCCTATGGAATAAGGAGAGCTCTAAACTCCTTTGGGACTTAAATCATTTTAGTTTAAAGGCGACCTCCAATATTTATCAAACCCTCTCAACTTTGATAGCATCGACTTTAAATTACTGTAAAATTGCCACTGATTGGTCAAACCGCTGACACTGCATGTAATAACTTCGTTGTCGAAATTTCTTTTTTCAAAACCGTCGTTCCAGTACCTTTAATGACGTGGAATTCGATCAGCATGAGAACGAGGTTGATGAGCACTTCAATTAAGACCAGGATGACGATCCCTAACTGCCAAGTGACTCCTGTCAACATTACAGCCAATGAGTGGCGAAGAACCCTTGAAACGGCAAAAAAGAGGAATTTTCTATATGTTACAGACACGACGTAAATACAACCTAGTTAG